GTTTCTATTACTCGTAAAAATGCTTTATAGAATCATTTTTAGCTCTTAATACCTAGAGAAAACATGGTTTTAAATTCCTTACTTTGGCTCTGGTTGCTCCCTATGGACAAATACAGCCACACAATAGGTAGTGAGCGAAAGACTTAGTATGTAATTCAAAAGAAAGATGGGAATGCATCAACAAAGTGATCAAATATAAAATGATGCTGAAGTTATTCAAATATAAGAATATAAATCACAGAAGTATTAATCAATAGACAACCGTGGTCTATTTCTAAGATTTTGAGTTGTTCCTAACCACAAGATTATATTACACACATGCCTTCAATTATAAACCCACCAGTAAAGTGTTACTTCACATAGGGCACTGGTCCACCGAAATAGAGCAAGAAAGAAAATACACTGAAAACAATTATACAAGAATCGGTTCACAGCAATATCTCATCAAATGATTTAGGCAAACATAAATCTTCATTCAAAAACATATAGACGTTTATATGAACAAGGATTAAGATATTCAAAGCACAAGATTGTTAGGTCTCATGTTTATGAGTCTATTGTCTAATCCGGTTTTGATCATTAACAAATAATTCCTAACATCGTTTTCGAGTATTTGCATTTGCTCGGTAGGTATCCTCACAAACATCCTTAGTTGGAGGTTGGATGTAATTGCATGTTATCGATAATATTCTTTGGAGGTTGGCAAATATCGAAATGAAGCCGTCACCATTCAAGTCAAATATTCTCTATTGCACTTCATCCCTACTACCAAAATCAAGCTTCATGCAGATTATTTGCTTGGGTATAATGTTTGTGTTTAGGTGTTTTACTTTATGTGTTTATACTTAAAGCTCAAAGCATACACATACACGTTATTCGATTTATCGCTTTCATTGTTTGTTTCACTTTGTTATAGGATTTTTAGAATATATTTGTAGATAAGTTGTTTGAAATGATTTCATCAAAATCAAGTGTTTAACGATCTCGTATTTTTGACCGTTTTGCAAAATAGTGAGTTTTCACAAATTGGAAATGCTATTTTAGAAATTTCTCTTCTAACATGTTTATTTTCATATGTATAAACGTTTTCCCAAGTTTTACTATTTTTAGAGTTGATTTACTATTTTCAATCGAATTTAGAAAATCAACTTTTTAGTAAATTCAAGTATCCGTTGTGTTTGTTTTCAGTCGACCGGTTGTTCGAGTTAGTCTACCGAACAATACGTCAGTCGACCGACCGTATTTTTCAGTCGACTTGGCAGAAGTGTTTTTTACAACATTCTCTTTTTCAGTTGATCAGTCGACCGACAAATAGAGTCAGTCTACCGAATAGTGTTGTCAGTCGACTGACCAAGTTTTTGTCAGTCAACCGGCGTTGTTTTATTTTTCTAGAATTAGCCAACGGCCGAATGCTCAGTCGACCGATATACCCATCAGTCGACCGATCATCTGTAACGGTTAATTTTTGTTTTGATCTGTTTGAGAGGTTATAAATAGGCCTCAAGACTTATTTGAATACTAAGAGTTTTACAAGAAAGTTTAGCCATTTTCGCTGCATATTTTTGAGAAAGAAAATTGTGTTTGTTTATGTGAAAAAGAGTTTTACAAGAGTAGGATCTCGATTTCAATTTTGAGATGTTCATATCCAAATCTCTATCTCTTCTTATTTTGGAGAAGTTTTCTAAACTCTTTCTCTAGCTAATCTATATTTTTTATTCTCATATATAAGCCAGATTTATTTGATATTAATTTCGTTTTACTCATTGTTTACACACACACACCCACTTGAGCTTTAGTATTTCACATCTAGTATTATTGGGTTGTAAGAGTGTTTCATTGAGAGTGCTTATATTTCGTTCACATGTGTTTAGAGAACAAAATTCTTTATTTGTATTTATTGTTATACATGTTGTAATACAAAAGGATACTTAGATGAGTGATTGGGAAAGACTGTGGTCAATTCCAATAGGAGTTGGTTGGTTGTAAATCCTAAGGAGATGTTATAATTCCAAACACTTGAGGAAGTTGACATAGGTAGTCCAACACTTAGAGAAGTGTAGCTTGTGTGATTGACATCGTGTGCATTGTAAAAGTTATCGGTGAACTTTGGAAGCCGTTATTGTGTAGTTCTTGAGATATAGTGGAGATCTCCTCGATGTGAGGAGTGGAGACGTAGGTCGAGGGTTGACCGAACTCCGTAATCATATCTTTTGTTTGCGATTGTTTTTTGGCGCACTATTATTTTTTACATCTTGTGTTTGTCGTTTATATCGCCTATTGTCTCATTATTTATCCTTACATATCTCTTTGTATATTATATTGCTAGGATATTGATTTATAAGTTTTAATTTGGCATCATAATCGGATTAGATTAGTAATTACCCTATCCCCACTAAGGGTTCTTTCAAAGATTGCATATGAAAATTTAACAGAATGATAGAAAACAGGGTAGTTGTTACCTACCGGAAAGTCTAACCAATTCTCACAATATGATGGTTAGAATCCAATACTCCAAAGTCCTACACAATCATGTCACGCATCCAGATTAGAATCCTTAGATAATTACTCTAGCCCCCATTTCACAAGGTATGATTTCAATGACAAATAGCGTCATTAAACTCATTGAGCAATAATTAGATAATTTAGTATCAAAACCAATTGTAGAAATTTTCTATTCACTTTATTTATTGGACTGTTTCAGATTCCAAATAAACTCTAAATATTTATGTTATGACAATAAATTATCAAATGTGAAAACTAGCTTCTTGGACCGACTTGTTTCTCGTCCCTCTTCTAAACAAATATGATCAGAGTCCAAACAACCCAAACACCTTTTGTAGCCAACCCATCAAGCCGACAACTTGCGTGACCGACTAAAAAGGTTGTAGTTGTCGGCCTACCTACCAATTCGACCCTATAAGCACTTGCACTCGGCCTGTTGTTCCAACTGGCAACTTGCATAGTCGACTAGAAAGGCAGTGTTTTTCGGCCTCCAATTTGATGATTGAAGATGCAATAGTTTCCTCGAACCCCTCGCTAACAGCCATCTACCCTCGCATTAACTGCTCTGACAAAGTCATCATTACTCTAGCCCCCATAGTCTTTACGACTCATCGAACCCAATCAGCTCTAAGCACCTGTTGTCCTCTCCACATTGAATGACTGGATGGCTCACCCTCTTCAGCGGCCGACACATGTAAGGCATCTGCCGACTCTGCTGCCTATCTGCACTCGGCCCAAGTTACCTTTTTGTCATTTCAATCTACTATAAAAGGAAGCTGCACTACATATGGTAACTTCTTCTATTTTCATGCAACTTTGAATTCCTTTTCTTCACTTACTTTCTATTTTCCCACTCAAGCTCATACACTAACTTGATCATCGGAGGAACAACTGGAGAACACAACTCCGACCTCTCACGAGCTTTTTATGTGCAGGAGAGAACATTAAGCTCCGGAGCCGAACATCTGAAGAAGCTTGAGGACTCTAACCTAACACTAATCCCTAAATAAACCCCACATGTTCAATAACTGACATCAACAATTTAAATATTTATATTGACACATGGGTCTATAAGTTAAATTTATCGATGGCACAAATGACTTATTAAACGTATCCATGCTCTGAAAGTTATGGCTGTTTTCTCATAACTGTGCTTAAATTTCTGTTCACAGGAAAATTATTTCAGACAGCTATTTGGGAAATTTCTCTGTCCAAACTAACTTTGTTGCTTAAGAAAAATTTTTCAGCACTAGGCTTGAACTCAATAATCTGGTCCTTTTGTAAACTAATGTTTAATTCTTGAGATATATCGTTTATATGTATTTCAAAGGGTTCTGAGTGTAGGTTAACATAGATAAACTGTGCTCTTTTATCTGAACCAGAACATACAATTTTATACAATTCTCTTCACTTTCAAAGTCCAAAAGTCCACTCAACATGATATAATTGCAGAACTCAACTTCCCATTGTAACTTGGATATATGTATATAATGTATATACAATTAAAGAAAATTCTGAAGATCCAATCAACTCTTTATTTCTCATTACATCATTATACTAACAGAAGTTTCCTATTTTCAGTCAAAGACGAACATTTAGAGGTGGGTCTATCAACTTATATTTTCAAGATCTTATAAAGAAAAACTTCAAAATTATAGTTTATACTTACCTTTAATATATTTGGCTTGATAATAATCCTCGTGGTCTTCAATTTCCTTCTTCTTCATTTGCCTCCTACTTCTTATTTTTTTTTTATTTTTTTTACTGAGGAGGGCCTGCTGCACTCTGAAGAAGATGAGAATCGATAGCGAGAGATAGAATGGAAATGACAGAAGAAGCCCTTTATCTTCCAATATATCTTAATATTATTTATTTTTCTTTTCTTTTTTTTTTCTTTCTTCTTAATCTACATAATGTTTTACCATTATTAAAAACTTTCATATATTGTTATTGACTATCAAGCATTCCGTCAAAGTTTTCGCCCTTGTTGTCTTAACCTTGTTCACGCCATTTATTATACATAACATAAAATATCAAATTCTGTATAATAATTTGCAGCCTTCAATCTATTAGAGTTCATCCATATATATAGAGCATTTCACATATTTTCATTTATATGGTAGTTATGTTTACATGATTCCTTTTTTTTTTTTTTTGTGACAAGGGAAACCCTGTCAGCTCTCCCAACATTAACTCCTTTTGGAGTCCGCCTGCGGCCCTGGTTAAGCCTTCATCCATATATATAGAGCATTTCATATGGGTTTCTGCACCTACCCTTAATCCCACAGAAACTAGGTGAATGCGAAAGCGGGGATTTGAACCCCTGACCAACTAGGGAGATCTCCTCCCTCACTCTTCGTGGCGCTAGCCAGAAGTCCCACCCGCGGGTGGTTTACATGATTCTTACTAGCATATACTTCACATTTTCCTAAAATTGCCCATCCCCGTGATTTTTATACAAAATCCAAAATACTTTTTCTTTAACACGCACTAAATGAATTGCAAAAGACACCATATATCTAGGTGTTCGTCCTCCCAAAACAATGGTGTAACTTGATGGAAACACAATATACAACAAGGTAGAATATGCATATCATGACAATAAATCTAAAATAATCTTATTACTGTCCCAGCACAACCATCGTCTAGAGTCCAACCCCAAAAGTAGGGAAGGAACTAGCTGCCCTCCTCTTTGACGAGCTCTACCTTTGTTACCAATTCATACTCTTGCACAACCTCCTGCTCGTCCACGGGCTCCTCCTACTCTACGGGTTCTGCCTCACCCACAAACTCCTCCTTTGTGAACTCTTCCTCATCCACAAACTCTTCATCCAAGGGTTCTCATCCTTTCTAATCTATAGGCTCCTCCTTTTCCCCAAGCTCTTTCACTATATATTGCTCGTGGATGCTGATTCTGGATGGTATGCTAGGTTATTCTAGGGCCAGTCTCATCTGATTCGTACTCCCAATCATGCAGATCGGATGCCCAAGTATCAAAACCGACAATGGATCCCTCCCTCCGATAGGATCTCGATCAAAGATGAGCCCAACATTCCTATCATAACCAATTTATTAGTTTATGTAGGACACGATATTTATGCATACATATGCACATAATGCATCTAGAATATCATGAGGTTCTTTCTTTCTAAGCCTTTCGTAGATCGATAAGAAATATATAAATCATCACATGACTTTTCTAGCAAATACATATACGAAGCTATCACAAAAATGCAATTTTCAGGCCAAGATGCCCGATAAATAATATACTAACATAGATTCAAACACTTGACCTCATATTCAAGAAAGGTGCCTTAACTAAATGTGCTAAAAAATATTCGTGAATATTTACTGAATATCAAGTTAATATATCAAATCAAATTCGAACTCCTTCTACCCATTCGAAACGAATTTGAATTCGCTGGAGTAAACCGAATTCGAATTTGAATTTAAAGGTATTCAATCAAATTTGATTCGTTTGCACCCCTAGTAGTATCTGAACAAGAAAGTACCCAATTGATCAAATTCACAGGACACGAGTTTGAAGCTATGAGAACCAATTGGATCGGTGTAGAATATGGGACATTTGGGGATAACTGCATTGATCAAATGGATCTACCCCTCGCCCACCACGTAAACAATAGAATCGACTGTTCAAGTGTTTTTCATATTTTGACAGAAAGAGTGCGTAATCTATATAATAACAAGAGAAAATCATCTAAAAGCAACTAGCGTTGGACTGATGCTCCACAAACTGCACAAATAACACATAGGGTCCTTATTCTGCAATGATACTAGAATGGACGTTCTTGCACATTATGCTCACCATAATCCTTTGGTAAGGAAGGTCACATAACTTGTTCTTGCACATTGAGATTCACAAATTCACAACAAGGCTTATAAAATTCATGGATTCAAGTTGAGAATAAAAATTCTTAAAAATGCCTATATTAAGCATTACATCTGAAAGATAATTTAAAAGAAGTCTCACGTCAAGCATTATTTTACAAAACAAGATAATTTAAAAGAAGGCTCACGTCAAGCATTACAATCCAAAACAAGGCTCACATTGCGCATTAAAATCGCAAACGGAGATTGAGAAACTGGAACACCAAATAGGAGCTAAACTCAAAAGGGTTTGAAAAGATTAACTTAGCTTTCAACTGATTTTCTCTTCATCAACCACCGTCTGTTGATTAGGTTTGATGTGAAGAGAGGGGTACGTGAGAGGGCTTTTGCAATACTTTGAAAAAGAAGAGCAACTGATTGATTGGTATTTTGAGAGTCTTTCATGTGCTTTTAATGGCAAGGTGATTAGCAAAAAGATAATGATATATAGGGGGTTCCCAATAAGTGGCCAAACTTGAAGGGTTTTCTTTATAATCACCATGTTTTCCTCTTTCTGAGCTAGGATTTTACATAAGGCAACCAACTAAGAACCTCTGCGTGAATTTGGTCCGCATGATTTTCTTCTGAAAGATTTTTTCTGATTTAAACTCTTAAGTCAGTTCTTCACTTTATGACTGTCTAATATAGTGTTATATTATAAATAAAAGATAAACTTGAGATCAATTTCATTTTTCCATGAATCAAACTAACAAGTGCCAATGGTTTCATATAATGTCATTTCATCAACTTACGAGTTTCTTTTTATCACTTTTTATCACACTTATAAAGAGACTCCTTCTAAAGATAGGCATGCGTGCAGACCAATCACCAGAGAAAAGTAAATACCGCAGATATGTGGAAACATGTTTGGATACTGACTGTAGATGTCCATTAGTTTTGATACCCGTTTGTAAACTTTCAAGATGTTCACTTTTTTTTAACTTACATATATGATGAAACAAAAGTTGTATAATTCCTTTTAAGGTGAAATTTGTTATACTTTGTAACCTCTTTAAGGTTCATTGATGTGAAGACAAAGAATATAAATATAGCATATCGAATAAATTAATGTTCAAAAACCCCCCATCTAGAGACAAAAGTGTTATCCTTTCTGCAATTCAATTCAAAATAACAACTCGAAGGACATAACACCCTGATATATATACGCACCATTTGATTTATCAATTCCTAAATGGGACAAATCAACATCAGTTTGATCAATCTTTTGATGTTTCAAGAGCGTTGATAATGTGTTCGCTTATGATGTCATGCGTCCCAAGGCAGGATGCTAGCACGTTAAAAGAAGCTTTTTTCCTATTTGAAAAATGTGGGAGCTCTGTATATATACACCTAATTCAAAAAAATTCAACTGAAATTCTAAATAGATTATAACTTCTGTTGGATTACAATCGTGTTTCAAAAGCATAATGTTTATTTTTATAGAAAACATGTTTAAATCATGAGATATCTTTTTCGCCAAAAATGTGGACCTGAAAATGACAGCTTTCTATCAGGCATCGATTAAGCTCTTAATGAACAACGCTAACTCGAATAACACAGATTCAGAAGGAACGTACGGCTTTCTACTCTGGCATCTATTGAGCTTAACGATCCATTCTTTGTCTAAACGACATAAATTGAATGAAAAATGCCAAAGATCTAAATAAAACCGATGGAATGGTTAATGTAATCACAGAATGTTCAAACGACACAAGACCATGGTGAAAAAACTTGCCAGAGTATATTACAACTTTTAGAGCCTATACATGAAACTATGCGCCCTCAACAATGTAATGCAAGGAATAGAATCAGTCAATTACCGGAAAAAGGCATAATCTGCTAACATTAGCTCCAAGCATTAAAAAAAGCTCAGAACTACTATAGGTCACAGTTTACCTTATCGTTAATTTGTCAAACAAACTTCTGAGGTGATCCACCTATTAATGCACTGAGATGATCTGCTACTCAATTAACTTCAGTTCACTCGTTGTCAATTGCGACTCCATTCCCTTCTTGATTCCCTTCTTGATCTAAAGAGAGAAACGCATTTACAATGAGCAAACAAACTTAAGATCGCACACTCTGAGATAAATAAAAGCATATAAGAGTTAGAAAATACCTTGAATTGTAGCTGGAGAAGATTTAGGCAAAAGTTCTCTTAGCCTGTAACTATGAAGTGCTGGCCCAAAAACTCTTACTTTCCCTGCATTCCTCAAAGCACTTTGTGCATCAATGCTATATTTGAAAACGACTAATGCTCTGTTTGATTTTCTCAGAATATCAGTTTCTTCTTTAATCAAAGGTCCATAATGACTGAAAACTTTGTTGAGGTATCTTTCAGAAGGAAGAGCATCAGGGTCCTCAAATGTTAAAATCAGTGCAGTTGGTGACTCTTCCTTAATTTCCTCTGCACAATTAACCTTTTGAATCTTCTCTTTCTGCCCATTGTCTTGAGATGGGTTTTTTCTTTTTTGGCCCCTGGATACTGCTGTCTTTGTTCCTGAGTCCTGTGTATAGTCAGGATCAAGATCGAAGCTCACTGTTTTCTTCTTCCTTCCTCGCTTCTTTCCTATTGGTTTCTCGGGCTCATGATCCTCAGAGGCAATAGTTGAACAAAAATCTCTGAAATCAGTGAAGAAGCTTATGATCATAGGCAGAGAATTGAATTCCTCATATGGATCTGCAGCAAGTAGGATGAGTTTCGACAGCATTTCGTTCAAATAGGAAGACTCTTTCAATTTGCTTGAGATATTTTGAACCTGAAAATCTCCTTCGTTTACTGAGCATACTTCCTTTGCAATTTTCTTTTTATGTCTTTCGTTCATGCCAGCAGAATCCAAAGCAAAATCTTTACTTATGTCTCTTAATCTTCTCCGAGAACTGAGACGAGTTCCAATTGGAGTTGGAATAGCAAGAACATATTCTTCTTTAATCTTCTCACGAGGTCTGCCTCTCTTTTTCACAGAATCAACATTTGAATCAAGTGGGATTAAAGCTTTAACTGGGGTTTGGTTTGTAAGATGGCTCTTGTTCTTGGGAGGTCTTCCTCTTTTCTTTTTAACAATATTTGGATCCTCGAACTCAGAATTCTGTATATCTGTTTCCTTCGAATGTCCATCAACACCCATTTCATGTTCTTTCTCCTCTCTTACCACGATAGTATCTTTACTTACTGAGTCTCCATCAGATTCAATATCTTTAGGCTCGACAACATCTTCGAAATTTCCAACACACTTCTCCATCAAGTCGCCACTATTCTCCATCTCCTCTTCAATATTGGCATTTGCATTAAAAGAAACGGTATCCGGAAAAGGAACTACTTGATTCCTATCTCTAGACTCTACATCCATACTCACACAAATTCCCTCTTCATTTACCTCACTTTCCAATCTCCGATCCTTCTCAGCTTCAAACTTCTGACCTACTGCATTTCTCAATTCTTTCGAATCGTCACCGTTCACACTTGAAAGAGGAATTTCCTCTCTAATTCTTCTTTTAACAACATTTTGATTCTCAAACCCAGAATTCTCTACTACATCAGATTTCTCCGTTGAGTCTCCACACTCAACGCCTTCTAATTTTCCCATCTCCTCAATTTCAGCCTTCTCCTTTGGATCGCCGTTATTAGCCTTCGCTTCTTCCTTACTCAAATCAGAGGCTTCTAGAATCGAAATCCCCTCCCCATTCCCCTCCATTCCCAACCTTTGATCCTTCAATCCCTTATACTGCTCCACTTCAGATCTCTCGACCGAATCGTCGCCATTCGGACTCGAAAGAGAAATTTCCTCTCGATTCCCATCTCTATGTTCCTCCCCGGTCGAGGATTTGTCGGACTTGTCGACGCCAATGACGATGGAAATGCTAGGGTTAGGGTTAGAGGCCATGGATTTGGGGCTGAAACCGAAACCCTAGAAAATCTCTCGGATCACTCTCCCCTCTCTCGGCGACAGTTTTGAGAGAGTCCCTGTGTTACAATCTATCGGTTATCGGAGGCGGTATTTATAGCATCCGGAGGTACGTAACTTGGATGGGGTTGTATGAGTTGGATCAAGATCCATTACCAATACGGATGGGGTTCGGGTTCGGGTTCGATCCATTATAGTAAATTTGGTACTTACGGTTGAATATCAAATTGGATGTCAAGCTTTCAATAGGACTAGTTTTTATGCACGTGCAATACATGCGGTTACATATCAAAATAATTTAATTTTTTATTTATTTCAATACTATAAATAAGTCAGATTCATTATGAATTCAGTTCTGTAAATTTGGATTATTAAATTTGCTACAATTTTTATTTAAATATTATAAAAAAATCAATGTAATGGATTTTTATGCTAAACTGGGATATGTTAATTGATTCTCTAAGAAAAAAATTATTAATTGACAAAAAATATCTTAAAGTAGAATAGTAAAAGAAAATAAGTTAAATTGATACTACACGTCATATTCCAAACTCTACTAATCTCAAGCTATAATATGGAGTCAAGCATGAATAACAGTATCATTATGAACTATAGTTCTAGCAATAAAGAAACCATATTTCTTATTACATTAAAAATAGAATTGCACGGCACTTTAGGATATTATAAGATCGTGTTTATAATAAACAATCTTAAAAGCAAACATAAAAAAAAGAAGTACGACAAACATTATATATATATATATATATATATATATATATATGAGATCTCTGACTACATCATTTGATAGACTTAAAATAATAAAAAAAAGATAAAAACTAAAGACTAATGGTAACTATAGTATAATTTTATGTGATAAAAGCACATAAGAGTACAAAACTACTAAAATTTTTGCATAAAAATTCCTTATACAATTCCTAACTTTACTCAAAAATTTAAGTTATAATATAAAATGTTCAAAAAATATTATCCTCTATTCTTTTTGTTTCGTATTTTAATTGAACCGAGATCAATCTTTCTCCACATTTATCTTTTTTCTAGACAATTCTATAGTAGTATCTTCATCATCTACGTCGATTGTGATATCAAGCTAGAGTTGGATTTCTAGTGTTATTATATTTTTCTTCACCTCGTTCATCTTTTGTCATCTCATCTGACTTCACCAGAAATTTGAATGTATTTCCGATGCTCAACACAAACTTTTGGAAATATGAACTCTGATTATTTTTCTGTTTCAATGAGAATTTTTTTTTTTTATAATTTTCTAATTTATTACTTGAATAGAGTTAGGAATTACCTTTTCTTTCTCTACAATGAATTGTTCTGTTAAGAATTTCTGCTTCATCAAACAGTGTTACATTTCATTCTCTGTGTTATTTTCCACGAGAGTCTTAACTACATACCTATAGTTTTCATTGTTGATTTCTAGATATATGTTAATATTGTCATAAAAAACTTATACTACTTAATTTCGGTACTGAGTCAGCAGTAATTCTATAGCATTTATCTCTGTATTAACATCTTTATCTACTTTCTTGTTGCGGCATTTGCAATCGTAGAACTAAGGCTCGAGTCTATTTAGAACGGGAGTTATCTTTGCCTTAAATGTGCAATGGTGTGTATGTATATTGAAAAATTTTAGTTAGGTTTAATTGTGTTAATAAGAATAGGTTTGTGATATTCTACTTGTATCAAATTCTGTGATGTCTTCAAATTCTGTGATGTTTGCATAATATCACTAATTTGATTTTCTTTTACATTTTTAAAGAGCGTTGATGGAGATTCTTTTATTTTTACAGCTTCTTCGAAATGAAACCTGCATACTAGATTAAAATATAGTACTATATCATTATTGGATTACATAAAGGTATGCTTGTTCTACTTACCATTTTGCTAATTATTTAGCAAGTTATACTTTTGGATTGATACATATTATTGATATAATTTGCAATGATATGCTTGCCTCCCCTACAAAATTGAGATAGTTATAAGATGAATTTTCATATTTAGTTGTATTTAATAAGAATGTTATAGTAATTAAAAGTGTACCTTTATGTATAGAGATTTTAAAATCTGATAATGCTATTACAAACTTATGTTTGATTTTCTCTTCAAGAATTGATCCTTCATTTGTAGCCATATCTCAAATAAAGTTGCACGTAGAGTCATTCTATTGTATATGAAAAAGAAAGAATGCCAATCTTATTTTTTCTTATGATATTGAAAATAAATATCATGAATATACCTTTTATCCATTACCATGATTTCACTCCTACAAAGTTAGGGAAAACCTCAGAAATAATTTCAACATTCAACCTTGGACATATAATAGTTTCAAATCAAACCTCTCATGTTAGTTGTTATTGTAAGACATCTGCAAGTAATTATATAATACGTTTATAATTCCATAAATTAATGTCTCATTTTGTATTGAAGATTAAAGTATAAAATTTATATGTACTTACTAATTTTTGTTGCATCTTTTATGGAAAATACTTCTTTAATTGGGACAAAGTTATTCAATATATTCTCCAAGCGAAAATTAGTTTGTGCTTCTTTGATAGATATGTCTTTTGTTATTATTAATTCAAGTGACTCGTGGACACTTGAAAAAGCTGGTTTTATTCCTTTCACTTCTCCATTTGAAATGAAAACAATTTGATTCTTTGGAAGCATATCTCTAAACTTTTTTATAGTTTCTTCATACATAGCTCCTTGTATTTTATCACCCTGCAAATATTATTAACAACAAAGATCAATGGTTGTAAAATATGATTAATTAAATACCAAGCTATATATTATATTTTAATTAGTTATATGTAATATAGTCTTTTATTAACTAATGCTACTTAAGGGTAAATTACACAAAACCTCGAGAACTTTCAGCATTTTGTAGTAAATCTTGAATAACTTTCAAAATCTAAAAAAACTTCTTCACTAATTTTTGGAATTGCAAAAAAACCAATAAATTGTCCCTTTTTTTAGAAAAAACCTATAAATTAGAACAAAAAAACTACATAAAAAGGAATTCTGAAAGGTATTGGAGTTTTAGCGTAATTTACCCAATAGATATTAAAGTTTACTGCAAAAGTTATTGGGAGTTTATTGATATATTTGGCCTTATGCTCTAAATGTAAAAATTTTCTTTTCTATTTGATGCAAGCTCCCTATCAAATCTGGCCCCAAACGATGAGAATGAGAAAATACTATTATACATTCTGGTATAGCTTCGAAACTCAATTGCCTCTAGTGATTGCATTTGTATAAAGGGTATATAATCATTTGGAATATTCACATCTGCTAGGTGGATTTCACCGTTGTGACAGCAAAATATTAGAGGCTCGTGTTCAAACTTTGTGGCTCCACAATAGACACAAGACTTTGTTGTGTATAGCTTATATAGTAAAGAACATACAGGTTCATGAAAAGATTGCCCTAGCACAAATATAAATATTTAATAAACTAATATATAATGTTATATGACCCTTTTAATAAATTATAAAGTATATTTAGACAAGCTTTGATGCTCATAGGTCAGTAGTATGGCTCCACAAAATAGGTCAATTTTACGTTGTCGTTTGCTATTAGTAGTAATACTAGTAGAGTCATTACTTGGCCTATTTCTAGCATAGAGAATCTCATTCAAAATGGCTTCAAGTTAAGGTTTGCATTGAACTGAATTACAAATTATCATTAATTTATAAATACATATAAGCAATGTAGATAGTTAGACATAGAGGCGTATATTTTCATTAAAAGTCAGTAATAAACAACCAACTATAATCATTATCATAATTGAAACATAAGAATTGTTGATATTCTTTACTAACCTGATACTCATAATTATGGAATAAATCTTGAGCACGAAATTAGAATTGAGATGGTATTATCCTATAGGTATACAAATACGTATCAAGAAATGAAAAACCATAAGAAAATTATATCAAAAAAGTATTGTTGCACAATGTTTATTACAATTAGAATTTCCTTATTTAAGGTGATATATAGATAATATGGGTCTTGGTTCATTTAGGAAATCATTACGGGTTTCATGCAAAATTGAAAGTATGATGGGGCTTAACTACAAAACTACACTTGTAAGTTTGGACGGTGCATGAGCGGAGTATTGGTAGGGTCTTTGAGTGATAGAGAATATTGTATAAGATTGAGAACTTAATTATATATGTAGACATATATGCTAGAGGGGTCCATTTGAAAAATATAGATTTGACGAGTTTTGTGCAAAATGTACTTATGAATTCGGCACACATAAAGGCACCGTTGATAAGAGGATCTTTATAAAATATTAGAATTTTTAATAATGGATAGTCATATTTTGATTAATATCACCAAATATATAAAAAGTTTGTAACTTTGCTTGCAATAGATTATTGTGATAAAACTCTAACTTAACATAATGTAACATTAAAAATCAATATTAGAAAACTTAGCACGGTAAGTTAATAGTAAATTGATAAGGTGTCCTTTTCTAAGTTGCAAATCATGACTTGTGACCTTCATTTATATTAATTAACTACATGTTGTGAACAGAGGTTATAATTAACTACATGTTGCAAATCTTGACTTATTTATTTATACAAGTTCAGCCAATCGCCTCTCCTCCTATATCACTTGCTTTCCTTACTGTAATACCTCTAACAATACTAAATATTAATCTCCACAGAGCAATCGACACATGCCTTACACTATACCTAATACGACTAATTCAAGATGAAGATAATCTCCGCCTTAGCTCGGCGCACTGTTCAGCCGACATCTCACGTAACCGAGACAAAAGGCAAAACTATTCAGCCAACCCTTCAATTGATTCCACAAGCGACCCGACTCAGTCCACTATTTAGCTAATATCTCATGTAACTAAATCAAAAGGCGGTACTTATCATCCAACCCAGCCAATCACCCCTATGAATAACCCCACTTGGCTGGTTGTATCAGTCGTCAATGTGTATGGTCGACCATCAGCTGGACGGCTAAAAGAGTTGGTAGTTTTCTCGAACCCTGCACCAA